GCAACTTGGAGGAAACAGGCTAAGAGGAAAAAGAAAACTTAAAAAAAAAGTAAGCATCTACAAAACAAGAACTATTAGAAATGTAAAATACAGCAGCAGAAATGAAAAACCTAGTAGAAGCACTGGAGAACAAAGTTAATGAAATCTGAAAATAGGATAAAAAGACACAGAGATGAAAAAATAAGAGAGGACACAGAAGATTAGAAAATTAAAGTAACAGCCTAGGAGGACTATATTAGGAAAGAGCTTAAGCTGCTATAACAAAGAGACTCCAAAATATAGTGGCTTAAATAGCAAAGAAGTTTATTTCTCTATAGCCTAGGGTAGGTAGATGGTTCTGCTTTATGCCAGCTGGTTCTGTCACGCTAAACATGTTGTATCCATATCCATCCCTGTATCCAGGGCTGCTGTTTCAATTGTTAACATTTTCTAACTAGCAGGAAGGAGGTCAATAAAAGTCACAACTTAAAGATATGGCTCATAAGGTACATGCATCATTTCTGTTCACATCTAGCTGCAAGGGACACTGGGGGAATGCAGTCCTGTCCACGTGGTCATATGCTCAGCTGAAACTCAGGAGAGAGTTATTAAGATGAAGGAGAGAATGGATATTGAAGGATGCTGAACAATTTCCACAATAAGGTCTAACATCCAAATAAAAGGAGGTCCAGAGAGAACCAGAGAAAATAGTGAGGATGAAATCAGCAAATAAATATGCATTAGGGTGACTTAAGTTTTGCTGTGGCGACAATCCCTAAATCTAAATAGCTTATAAAAACAAAGGTTTATTTCTTGTTCAAGTTGCATGTCTGTCACAGGTCAGTCAGCTGGGGGTTCTGTTCCATGCATTCTCACTTAGGCCAACAAAACTTCCACCATCTAGAAAAGTGTTAGTCATTGTGGGGAGGGAGGAGGGGGTGGGACCCCCTGGTAAACCATACAATTACCTCTAAAGATTCCATCTGTCAATTCTGCTTATATTTTGCTGGCCAAATTAAGTCAAATGGCTAACCTAACCAAGTCAGGGCAAATTTCAAGGGCACAGCAAAGTGCAATCCTATTAAATGCACAGGAGAAAAACTGGAAATATTTAGGAAAAGATATTTATGACTACCACCTAAACCATTTAGGTCACAGACACCTAAATATTTGGTTCACTCTCCTTCCTGCAGGCAAAATATACCTACCTCCCCACCCTACATCGAGGAAGACAAACCCAAAGTCCCATCTTGTCGTTTTATAAAGCTCAAAGTCTAGACTCTTTGGGTGAGTCAGACTCCTCTGGGTAATATTTGGTAGTCTCAACAACAGGTTCAAATATGGCTCTTCTTGGTTCAGAGACCTATGAACTAAAAAGCTAAGTTATCTGTCCTCATATACCAATATATGATGGTGGAAGAGGGTCAGTATAAGCTCAAAAACAGGAAGAACAGAGACACATAGCAGACAGTAGCCCACTGCAAAAATGTAATAGAACAGTGGTTTCCAAACTACTTCTTTTCCCTAGTAGAATAAACCTTAATTTGATTTGTCTGATGCCGTCTCATGATTAGAATCAGGCTATGCATCTTTGGCAGGAATATAATAGAATTGGTGCTGTGTTCTTCTAACTGCATACTATCAGGTGGCATATAATTTCTATTTGTCCCATTATGATGATATTCATGTTGATTATTTGATTAACATGGTATTTGACAAACTTCTCGACTGTACGCATTTTTTTTCCATTTGCAGTTAATATGTATTTTTTTTGGTGGGGTGACTTTGAAAATATGTAAATATCTTAAGCCTCATGAAACATTCAACTTATTCATTTATTTAAATATATCACCATAGGCTTATGGCTCCGTTTTATTCAATGGGTTATGACCCATTAACCATCATTATTTATTTTGATGCTCAAATTGTCTCAGATTTGGCCAGTGGGAGCCTAGTCAAGTTGGCTTCTGTACTTTCTTGATATATCTCCATTATTCTTTAAGCACTTCCTTACTTTTTGGTATAAAAAAATGATCCAGGCTAAACTTGTGCTTTTCCTGCCCCAGTGGCAGAATCAGCTATTTCTCCAAGGATTCTTTGTTCTTCTCAGTGGAGAATGATATTTAGAAGCCACAATCTAGACACTATGTGTGCTCACTATTATTGGAGGGCTTCTGCTATTAGGCCTTCTCAGTGGATAGAGCTAGGGAAAATACACACACACATACACATACCTATGTGAATGCATACATGTATATACAAATATACATACATATGCAATTACATCTATATTTATTTCTATATCTATATGTATTTCTAGCCATTGATATTGCTAATTCTAACTGAACACTACAGAGTTCATTTTACTTTTCTCCCTTTTCATATTTGTAACTCCATTCTCTGATAGTGAGAAATCAGACTCCCATTATTCTTAATTTATTTATTTATTTGATCAATCTTTCTGAATTTAAGCAAACTCCCAGTTACTGCTGTCCTCTCCCTTTCATGGAAACCCTTCTTACCCACTCAGCATAAAACACTCTGCATCGGGATTCTCTACCACCACCACCATGTCCTCCTCTTCTTACCTGTACTCTGACACTCCTCTCTGGGCCTCTGACACCCCCACCCCCAAGCATAGATGTCTACCTTACTCTACTTGATCTAATGGCTTTAGGATGGAATTGTTCCAAGAAGGAAAGGGAAAAGAAGTTTGAGTGGTTTGTCCAGGATTTTCCAGGTTTTTGCACAGGATGCAGGTTTGTGCTGCACCCCAGGAATCCCTTCAGTCCCAAGCAAACCTGGACATTAGCCACCCTAGGAAAATAAGTTGTCTTAATTTCTTCAAATGCCATCATATAACTTTTAGGTCTTTCTAGGTAACCATTGTTAAGAGTTCTTTAGGCACCATTATGAGTAGATTGTTAAACCTCCATGGGAAGTATTGTAGCACAATCAACAACATCGCAAATGCACATTCTCTCATACCTAGTAAGTCCAACTTCTAGGAATTTATCTTAAACATATACCAACCTTGTAGAGATAAAATTATTACCTACAATATTGTTTGTAACAGTAAAAGTAAAATTAAAGGAGCATATTAAAGAGATTATGGGACCTTTTCCTCATCCCATTAAGAACACAAAACAATAACCAGATTGGCTAAAAGGAACTCAAAGAGATTGGCTAAAAAGTAACTCTAAGAATCCCTAGAAACATAAATTAGCACAATAAGATGAAAAGGAATTAGTACAGTAGCTCTGCAATTTACAAGGCAAAAATGAAAGCAGGATGACACAAAACAGCCAGGAAATAATTTTTTACCAAACTTGCTAGTCAGGTACTTGTCAGAAAACCGTTATCCAGGTCATTAGCTTAGTTTCTTTTTATAGCTCAGTAGTGGTATCAGAACGCTTTTCACAGAGTATCCCCAACGACTGCCTTGAGCATGTCAGAAACTGGATGGGACTTTGAAGTTAACCAGTTTGGCCAGGATTTTGCAGATTTTTGCATTGCATGCAGGTTTGTGATGCACCTCAGGGACCCCTTCAGTCCCAAGCAAACCTGGACATTAGCCACCCTAGGACCAGGCTACGGAGCGAGAGAATTTAGACTGGCGCTGTCCAACACAGCACTGCTACCCGATAGAGTTACGTACATTCAAATTAAATAAAATTAAAGATTCAGTTCCTCGATCTCAGTAGCCATATTACAAGTGTTCAACAGTCAAAGTGGTTAGCGGCTACCGTATTAGCTCAGATATAGAATCTTTCTATCACCTCAGGAAGTCTATGGACAGCGCTGACACAGTTTAGCGTTTAAAAAAAAAGCTTGTAAGCCACTAGGCTCCACTACTATAAATAATCAACAGACGTTATTATTCTTTCCAAATAGTCTGAGGGAGGAATTACACTAAGAAACACCAAGCAAAAATTATGCAAAGGCACCTGCTAGCAGGCTTTCTCAGGAAACTCACCCGTAATTCCCACGGTGGAGGCCGTCCGTCCTTCTGTGGTACAGAACTCCTCAGACTTCTAGAATTCAGCGAACTTCCAAGAGGTGGTCGACCGAGGACAAGACCACCGAGATTTCATTGTACAAAGCGGCGGTCGCCTGTATTCATATGGCGAGTGAGCCTCGGCCCAGTGTTCCCCAGCCGGACGCTACCCGGGTCTAGCGCTCCCCTCAGTCAGGCGCTCGGCACCGGCTGGGAGCGCGAAGCCGCCGGTGTGTGCGCGCTCCCGCATGCGCGCCTGCGCGCGGCGTGCGGCGCGAGAGAGCCCGGTAGCCAATGGGGCGGGGCGCCGCGCGCCGGGGGCGGGGTCGTGACGCGCGCGCCTCGTGATCAGGCTCGCGGCCTGCGCCTGAGGAAGCCGGAAGCGGCGGCTGTCCACAGCACAGACTGGGGTCAGAGAGGAGGCGGTCTGCGCCTTGGGGTTTATGAACCCCGCGATGGACCCGGACCTGACGGTCGCGCGACAGAGGTCATCGTTGCTGCTGCTGCGGCTGCTGCTGCTGGTGGCGCTGCTGTGGTCGGGGCTGGCTCTGGGCACCTTCTCCTTGGGCAGCAGTCCCCACCGAGTCCTCCACGACCTCCTGTCGGAGCAGCAGTTGCTGGAGGTGGAGGACTTGTCTCTGGCTTTACTGCAGGGCGAAAGGATGGGGCCACTGTCGTTACCCCCATACTTGCCGGATCTGGATCCCGAGTGCCGGGAGCTGCTGCTGGACTTCGCCAACAGCAGCGCAGAGCTGACCGGGTGTCTAGTGCGGGGCGCCCGGCCGGTGCGCCTCTGTCAGACCTGCTACCCGCTCTTCCAACAGGTCGCCAACAAGATGGACAACATCAGCCGAGCCGTGGGGGTGGGTAGAAGAGCACACTCGGGACCTCTGGCGTGGATGGTTGGGAAGGGAGGAGGATGTAACGATGGTTAACTCTGGGGGCCTCAGTTTCCAGATCTGTGAAAAGGGGGTTGAATTTGGACTGTAGAGTTAGGGGCATCAGAAAAATGGGTGTTACAGGGCTTGGGGTGCGGATTTTTACCTTCTTGGCTGCTGTTGGGCATCTTCTTTGTACATATTTGCAGATTGATATGACTAGCTTTCTTGGGGCTTCTGCACCGCTAACCCTACCTTTTCTTCTCTTCTTTTCCCCCTTTCCCCCAACTCTGCCACAGCTTCTTCCCATCTTCACTTGGAGTTCCCAAGAAAGACCTTTCCTGAAATCCCCAAGTGGAGTGGGGAAACAAGAGTATTGGCTAGGAGCTTGAGTTTGTAGCCAGACATTTTCAAGTCCACCACTTTCTAGCAGTTTGATCTTGGATTAATTATCTTGGAGTCATAGTTTCCTCCTCTGTGAAATGGAGAAAAATAGCTGCCTGATGTGGCTATTAAAAGAATTAAAATAGATAATGCATGAGAGTTCGTTTTAGTGATTAAAACAGTCTGGAGCCATTCTGCCAGGAGACCAGTTCTCTGCTTATTAGTGGTGTACTCTGGTCAGGTTACTTTTTATTCTCTGTGCCTGTTTTCTCATTTGTAAGATGGGAATAAAAGGAACTCATAGAAAACTGGCACATAATGATAGTTTTCAGTAAATAGGAGCTAACATTTTATGAAATGGTAAATCTGCCCTCCACTGTTGATAGATACTCTTAACAGCTCTTCTGGTCATGTGGTAGGTGCTGTGAGGGACTTAAAGAAGGAAGGAATGGAAGGAAGGCTGGAAAGCAGGAAGGCAGGAAGGAAGGAAGAGAGAAAGGGAGAAAGAAAGAAAAGCAAAGCAAGGCACAGAGACATGTGCCTGCTCCTAAGAGCTGTATAGGATCTGGAGTAGGAAAGGATTAGAGTGTCAGGGCTGGTGGGAGTCATGAGGTGTGGGCTGGATATGCCTTGTAAGGGAAAAACATGTGGAATGACATTGGGACTGTGGAGTGGAAAAGTTCCTCTTGCATTGGGGAAAAAGTCTCATGAAAATGTGGTTGGAATTATTTCATAAATCATGTTGATTTGGCAAAGTATAAACATATAGTTGCATCCTGCTTTAAGTCAGCCTCATACTATTTAACATAAATTATATTTTTTACATATGCAGGGAGTTTATTTGCATTAAATAAACTCTGTGGTCAGTCTTTCTGTAAAAGCTAGTTTTCAAGGTAGTTTAAGTAAATTTAGACTTACATGCAGTATTTTTCAGGCATACTTATATTGGGTATAGCAAGGGATGGAGATATATGTATATTCCCTTAAAGTAAAGCACCCAAAGCTTGTCCCTGTCAACAACAGCAGGGAATGATATGGCATCATATTCTGTTTTAAGCAATTAGATAAGTTGCCCTGTGGCCAGAATGACCATGAATCATTACACAAAGCTTGGATCTTTTGAGGGAGCGAATGTTTTCCTCATTTGTGTAGATACTGTGGAATTAAGAAGAGGTTAAAAAATGACTCCAAACTCTAGTGGTCCAGAATCATGGGCATCTGTGGGTCAATTATGGGCCAATACATATATGAATTTCCACATGAATTCTCTACTGCTCATGGGAGGCTTCCCAGTTGGGGTGGCAGAAACTTGCTTCTCCTTTGTGTCTCTCAGATTCTACCAGTGACCTAGACATCTGGTTTGCCTAACTGTTATGTGAAAGGAACAGGGTAAAGAGATAAAAAGAGGCAGAAGATCCCTTTACCTGATCTGTATTTCCTCTCCAACTCATCGTAGACCTTGGTTTTTCCCTCCTCCTTTCCTCAGTAGAGCTGGGTATGGTAACTCAAAAGCATGATTTCTACAGTTCTGAGGTACTTCATGAATTTAGTAGGCTTTTTCAGATTGGTTTGGGAATGGAACCATTATGTGTAATAATGAATCTGTGGAAAAATGTGTCTGAGTTTCTTTGGTGTGAACTTGAAGAAATCAGTGTGTTCTCTCTCTCTCTCTCTCTCTCTCTCTGTGTGTGTGTGTGTGTGTGTGTGTGTGTATCAGGGAGTTGGTTCTGGAGAGTATAATGTATTTTCTTTGATTCACATAGACTCAGTCTTTCATTTAAATCTATTTAGTTTAGTTAGCTAGCACATGCTATTCTTAAATATTGGGCTGGTAAAAGAATATAGAAGGAAAAGGAGGAAAAGTACAGGCCTCAAACTATCAGTGTAATTGGGGAAATAAAATAAATCTATATTGAGAAAAAGAAAAAATCATCAAAGTGAATGTTACAAATTGTACAATAGGATTTTAGAACAAAAGTGAAGGAGAAGCTGAATTAGAGGAGGGAATAGAGCAAGGTGGGAAAACCTACAAGCAGAATTGTGAACAAGAAATCGTTTCTCACCTCTTTACGGTGAATCCATATCCATAGATTGATTGAGAAAGGAGAGAAGTATAACACGGAGAAAAAGAATCAAACGTAGAAATTAACAAGCTATTTCTGTGATACAGCAAGCTAATTTATTTAAATATAATAGAATTATCTGATGAGAATTCTGTTTTCTTGTCACTTTCTCTTGGAATTACTGGGACAAGGACCCCATATAGTTTTATTATCTCAAGGTAAAGAATATAGTAATTAGTGAAACTTGAATAGTGGAATTAATGGATTCTCTCTTACTTACTAAGAGTCATACTTTCTTCTTTTAGTCTAAACTGATAAGGATATGGTTTCCTTGAGTTGTTCAGCATCACCAGAGCAGTTGTCAGCATGCTTTGGCAAACTCCCCCCACCCAATTCTGAATTGCTAATCTCTGTCTTATTCTACTTGGTTTGTTTAAAATTTAAATAGGTAGATAGATAGACATATAGATATGTATATAAATTTATGGAGGTGCTAGTGATTGGGGGTGTGTATCTGGAAAATTCAACATAATTTTAGTGTAGGTTAATAAATAAGTTGTTAGGAATATAGGGAGAAAATTGAAACATAGCATAACATAATCTGTCTTTCATTAGAGATCAGAAAATATAAATCTTGTTTATTCATTGAAAAATTATTGAATACCTATTATGTGCAGGGTAGTGGTAGTTACTAGCAATATAGCTGTAGATGAGCAGAGCATGTAGTCTGGTAGGGAAAAAAGTTATTAAACACATCATCATATAAGTAAGTATTTAATTCAGGTATGCTAAATGTTGCAAAGAAAAAAAACCATAGGTGCTACCAAAGCATATAAAAGGGGTGCTGATCTTGACTAGGGCGAGGGATAGATAGAAGTGTCCAGCGATTAAAGCTGACATCTAAAATTTGAGAGAATGTGGGGATAGATAAAAGTGGTCAGTGATTAAAGCTGACACCTAACATTTGAGAGAATGTGTACATGTGAAGAAGTAGCAGGTATGAAGACTCTGAGGCAGGAGTCTGGCATGTTTGAGGACTAGAAAGAACTCAAAGCACTGTGAGCCAAGAGGAGACTAGTGATCTGAGCCTGAAGTGCCAGGTCGTCTGGGCCCTGTAGGGTGTGTTAAGGGTTTTAGACTTTGATTTTAAACCAGTGTGATGTTACTGAAAGGTTTAATTCTGTGGAATAACATCATCAGATTTGTACTTTATAGCTACATAGGAGAAAATGGAGGGGACAGGGACCAGGGAGGGTGGTGGAAAAGTATATGTGAGGAGATGAATTAAGAGAATCTTGCAGTGTTGTGAGAAATGGTAGTGGCTAGGCTATATGGGAGCCATTGTGATGGGGAGAAATAGATAGATTTCAGAGATATTTAGGAGGTAAAATTGACAAGATTTGGTAGTTAATTGAATATGTAGAATGGAGGAAAGGTATAGCAGAACTTATTTCCTTGCTTGGGGCAAAAGGGAAAGGAAATATATAAGAATCCAGTAATTTAGGGACTTGGATTTATTATTTGCATAGTGTGAGTTTCATTATTAAAGTGATCTATGGAAAGCATATTCTATATGGGTACAAACTATTTGGGTACAAACTGGATGTGTCACGTTTTCTTGTGGATTGTAAGATTTTGAGCCAAAAATTGTCCAGAAGATGAAACAATGTTTTGTGATCATTTACCCACCAGATTTTTATTAAATGTGTAAATAATATATATTAATTGCAGGAAAATTTAGACAGTGTAAAAGAGGCAAAAAAGAAAATAAAAATAACTGTATTTCCATTTTCCAGAGATAACTACTGCTACATTTCAGGGAATAGTTTTCCAGAATTTTTCCTGTGCTTAAAAAGGAAGAAATATGACATGTGGGCCTAAGTAGTTGAGATTGTACCACAGAAGCAAGAACTTACTTGTTTAAG